CCCCCGTCCCCCCCCGCACCTGTCTCTACTCCTGCAGCTGTGGCACAAGAATTTCACCATGTTCCTCGGATACCCGTGACAATAAAACCTGAAACTTGAAACATCTCTAATGCTGCTGGGACAGACCTGCCCTGCACCATCAATAAAATAATCATTTGGGGGGGAAAAAAACACCAAGTTTTATGTTCAAGTTCCGTCACAAATACTGCTGATACTTCAATACCAGCATTCAAAATGTGAGCATTTCCTAAAAAGGACAAGTCCTTTAGTGTAGCTCTTATATGGCACGCAGTCATACCAATACCAATACCAATTTATTTATAAAGCACTTATAAAAACAACCACTCGGCTGACCAAAGTGCTGCACATCATATAACAAATACAAATATACACACAACCAAAAAACACAAAAACAAATAAAAGCAAAAGAATAATCAAACACAAAAGAAAAAAAGAAAGAAAAGATGAGTCTCAGTCACCACAACAGACTGGACCGAAAGCTAAAGAGCGAAATTTAAAAACAACAAGAGATGGAGCGTCCCTCACATGCAATGGCAAATCATTCCAGAGTTTTGGTGCAACTACCGCAAAAGCTCTATCGCCCCTTAGTTTACGATTAGCCTTTGGTACGTCATCTAGAACAGGGGTGCCCAACTCCAGTCCTGGGGGGCCGGAGCCCTGTGTAGCTTAGTTATTTCCCTGTTCCACCACAAATGATTCTCAAGAGTTGTGTGGTAATTAGCACAAGGAGCTGAATCGGGTGTGTTAAATGAGGGGAAACCCAAAAATGTGCAGGGCTCTGGCCCCCCAGGACTGCAGTTGGACACCCCTGATATAAAACGACCCCTGATGAAGCTCTGATTTGGCCCTTGACAGAAAATTTCCAGGGCTTGTGTCAGGATGTTCCTTTGTGACACTCTTCACATTGTCCACAAGAGGGCAGCAGTGACCCCTCAAATGTCACTCTCCCAAGATCACACTCTTGGCACCGTATACTGGAGTTGTCTGTCGAAATGTGCTAATTGTACCTGTTGTAAAGGCTGTATTATGAAACAGTTTATGGAAGAAAGGGTGCTTTTTATTTTCATAGTCATCTCCCAGGTTGGTGGTGTCTGCCCCCGTCAACCAACCCCCCCCCCCCACCCCAACTGGAAGGAGCTAGAATCTATGACCATGCACAGCGAGGTCCAGTCTGGCCAGTTCAACATGCTGCCGCCACCCGATTCACCAGTCATCGCTAAGAGACCCTCATTGCTCACAGAGATTCCTGGCTTTTCTGTGATTAAAGTGAAGCCTCGCTGTCTGCTCTTCCTGAGCCCCGTTTGGCTGTTTCTCCGCGCTGTAGCTTGGTGGGGTGGTGATGGCCCTGCAGAGCGATTCCACGGGGGTGGCT